GCATTTAGGTTTCCTTCATGTCTTTTATGGCTTGATTGCTCATATCTTTTTAGTGCAGAATAATATTTCATTATCTGGATGGACCACAGTTTATCCATTCACTCACTGAAAGACATTTTGGTTATTTCCAAGTTTTGGCAATTATGAATAAAGTTGCTATAAACATCCAGATTTTGTGCTGATATAAGTTTTCAACATTTTGGGGTAAATACCAAAGAGTGCAATTGCTAGATCTTATGGTAAAAGTACGTTTTGTTTTGTCTTCCACAGCGGCCATACCAGTTTTTGGAAGGCATTGAAGAAGAGTGTGTGGCCAGTGATACGCAATCTCAGCATGTTTATAAAATTCCTTATTGCTTAGCAAGAACACTTCCTGTTTATGAATTTTAATGTTTTGACTTGAAGGCTATATCTTAATCAGTGATTTAATATTATTTCCATAAAGAAAACTGTATAGTCTATTAAAACTTATTTTGACCAGAGTCAGGGTATAGCTATAAAGGTACGGAGTGTATCAGATAAAATATATTATGAAGTTATATAATAAAGTACTATAATATAAAGATTGAAAAAATATTTTTATTATTTCTTTTAAAAATTATTTCTGGTTCTTTTTCATTGGATAATTTAAGACTATATATATTTTAATAACAAATATACTACATTTGAGTTCTATACATTTATATTTAGTAGTTTATTTTTCAGGTAATATTATCTTGTAATATCTCAGTCATTTCTTTCAAAAGTAGACTAAAGTAATGGAATTTTTTAATTTCTAGAAAAAAATGTTAGCCTTATAACTGTTTCACACAGCAAATATACTTCATAATGCCACGTATTTTGAAATTTAGACCAAGGTGCTATTTTGACTTTCTTGATTTATTTTCTTTTAGGTATTTGAGATGCAGAGTATAAATGCTTTGGTCCATTCTTTGATTCTCTTCTAGTTGCTCCAAAAAATGCTGGAAATGCTGATGTTTCAAATATTCAGCAGAGTGTTGTTCTCACTGGGATCAATATTTGTGTGTGTATGTGTGTGTATGTATGTATGTGTGTCTCCACGGAAAGAACTGAAGGACATGAAAATAGAATTTTAAAAAGTAACATATTTATCTTAATCAAATATTACAGTCTGGTTAACAGATTGTAGTTTGAACATTTAACAGCTGTCCTTTAGAACCAATGCTATTTGCCTCTGACATGTATAAATTGAGAACCAGTGCTTATATTGTAAATCTTTAATATTTGAGTCAGCAGATCTGATAGAGAGCACAACAGTTCTGATGAATTACAGATGCTGGGCCCACAGAGCACTTTCTCCAGACCGCCATCAGCGCTTCTGGCTGTCAGGACTTCTGGAAAGATGCATGAACGTGGGCAATGCTAAGAGCTGGAGGCTTCCTCTGAGCTCCCCGTTGGATGCCAATGGCAGTTAAATGTTTGTCCGGCCGAAGCTGGTGGTGCATCTTTGTCAGGCTGAGCGGTGCAGGGTGGGCACACAGAGGCTGGTTGGTCCCCGTTGTCCCACTTCAGCTCTGACTTCTCCCTGGGTACACTGCGAAAAGGAAAAGCAGCCCAGGTTTCCAAAAGATGTATTTTGCCTCCGAATAATGGCAGATACAGTTTTTTGAGAAATCAGAACTTTACATAGTTTGGGCAGGGAGCCCTTTTTAGAAAAAAGAATACAAAACTACATAGGAAAAATTAAGTTCAAAAGTAAATATTTATTTGGAATGAGTAAAGGTATCACAACAAAGCACTAATGTATTAAAGCAAATTCCTACCCAGCACCCAGAGCCCTGGATGGGCCAATGCAAGCTGAAACTTTATCAGCTCTGTGTACGTGTCTTGCTGGGAACCCACGAGAAATATTCCTACTGGGACAAATTTGCCAGGCCATTTTCCTGCTCTGTAAAGGTCTTAAGTCAAGAATTAGAAACAGGGAGGGAAAATGAAAACAAGAATTAAAAACAGGAAAAAATGGGGGCAGGGGGAACCTCACTTCATTTGAGTGAGGAAAAGATAATTTAAAAAAGCTAACACACATCTTCCATTTTAAAGGGATAGGGGTATTATTTATTTGTTCATTTTCACAGCCCTCCAGGTTTTTATGATTTGAACGTTTAAAATTAAAATGCAAGGACAGCTGTTTTTCCACCTGTGCTTGTTTGCATGGCTGGCACAACCTGGGCTTACACTCCAAAGGGGGAGGCCTCTGAACACTCAGAAAACCTGCTTGGGGCTGTTCCGCCACCTCGCAAGTCCCGCCACATCGCAGGCACAGTCCCGCCCTTTCCACGGAGGACATTCCCTGTGCTCCTCATAGCCACTCCTAGCACCCACGGCTCCACACGACAAACGCCTGGGTGGTTTTAAAAAACACCAAAGTTCCATCTTGAGATTCTGATTAAATCTGTCTGATGTGGGAAGGATGGAAATCCTAGGTGTCAGAAGCTATTGATACCTGCGTCCGTCCAGACATTGTGTTTAAAATGGCCTGAAACGGTGGTTCTTGTGCACTGTTCTTAGACCAGCAGCAGAAGCATCACCTGGGAAGTTGCTAGAAATGTCAGTTCTCGAGCCCCTCCCCAGACTCACTAAATTGGAAGCTCTGGAGGAGCAGGTGGGGCCCAGCGATCACCAGGAGAGTGCCAGAGCACACTCAGGTTGGAGAGCCGCTGGTCTGTGTTTGTGCTGGATGCTGGGGTTTTTAACTATATAAGTATGTGGGTATAATTCAGTAGAAAAGGCAATGCATACTATTTCATTACACGACTATAGCACAATGTATTTCCCCAATCCTCCATCTTGGACACTCAGGCCTTTTATAACTAAGTCTCTCGTCATTGTAAACCAACGTCCTTGAAGCATGTCCTTGTGTAATCCTTAATTGAAATACCTTAAGTGATAAGAATTGGTTTTCACCTCAGCTAGATTCTAAGTGTTTAATCTATGTAATTATAATTAAAATGCTTTGTCATTGAATACTTTGATCTCCATAAAGAAAAAGCATTAGTCGATAATTATTGTGGTAATTAAAATATGAATAAAATGGTTAAATTTAATATTGACAATCTTCAACTATTAGTGTGTTAACTAAACAGTCTTTCACTGATATATTCTTGGCCAATTGACATTAAATTTTAAAACAGCCAAACCTGATGCTTAGGAAATTATTAATCAAGTAGCATGGGGATTAATAGACTTAATAATGTATCCCATCGGTGTTGTCACACTTATTTCATATGATACATGGTACCAAACATTTCTTTTGAACACATTACTATAGTAAACATTGTTGGTTGACCGCCAGCATCTATTTTCCTCTACTTGCTTGCCAACAGAACTCCAATTTTGTTCAGGTATCCATCCTTTCTTTATTAAGCTCAGAAAGAAGTCTTTTTTTTGGTTTAAGCCAATCATTGTGCTTCTAACCCTGCATCTGTGTTTGGCTTAGAGGTGGGCATGTGACTGAATTCTGGCCAATAAGCTCTGAGGGGAGATCTGTAAGAAGTTTTTGGGAAAGACTGTTTTCCTATTAGGAAGAAAGAGGTGATGGTCTCTTTCTGCTTCTGGTTGTTTCTGTGTCTGCATGTGATGCCTGGAACTGCTGCAGCAATCATAGGGGCATGAGGAGCCATTTACGACATCCAAATGGAGACATAAAGGCAGCAGCTGAGCACACAGGTGGAGAGCCGAAAAAAGGACTTCAGACAGAGATGGAAGTCTGGTCACTGGTCTATAGCTAGCTGGATGAGCCGGCTTAGGAGACAGTTGAGAGTGAGCAAAGAAGGCAGCCGAGGTCTGTGTCTCCAGGGGTCTTAAATTTCTTGGTATCTATATGATAATACAACCCCAATCTTAACCCTCAGATCTTGGGTAAATGTCTAAAACATACGACTACATTAATAGTGTTTGGGGTATCGGGTGATGCCGCCTGGGTTCTGTTTTGGGGTCAACACGCACACAGAATGATTAAGTGAAAAGGACACTTTTTCGAGATCACCAAAAGCAAATCACCGAAACCTCGGAAAGGGATTTCACGGCAGTGGCAGCATCTGGAAGTAAGTGGGAGGATGAGGGGGTGTGAGTGGATGTGAACTAAATATCAATAAATACATTGCCCTTAGCTGACATGTGGGTCACAAGGGTGGGTTTTAAGAATGCCAGACTCATTCTACGATTCAGCAATGCTTTTAAATGCGTCATAGTAAATATTTTATTGTGCGGTTGCTACATGCCACATGCTTTGCCAGGCCCTAGGGTGACTGCAAGAAACAAGAAAAACCAGTCGCATGACATCACACAGGTTACGACCTGGTTAGGGAAAAATTACTAAATACATAATTTGCTTTGAAAAAAGTATTGCCTATTCCCTGAAAAATATCTTTCCCCAGCCTTCGAGGCTCCCTGAGAAAACATTTACCAACACACAAACTAACCCAACTATAAACTACCCTACGTAAATCATTTGGGAAATTTCCTTGTTCTGAAGCTCCCTGATGAAGTCTCATTTCCACTTAGGAAGCCTTTCTGGGAAGCTTTCCCCATGAAACTTTCTATGAAAGTTAAAGACATCTGCGGTGTCGTGCCAGCCTGCAGGTCTCAAGACTGGTTGCTCAGATGCTGTTGTTTGGTTTCTTACGAAATAGGACACTAGATGGAACCCGTGGTCTGTCCACTTCCTCTCAATACCTGCCAGCCCCACCCACCACTGGCCTCGGATTTATCGTCCATCTGCTGACTTCAGCACTTGGTCCACCGAATAGAATGAAATATAATACTTATCAGGAAATATATGATCCCACACAAACTATAAGGTTTTCCCTGATTCTTTTCCCCCAAGTCAGCATTTTGTCCAGTTCTCTTAAAGTCTTTACATTTATGGAACTGTGCCCAGAAAGACATACCGCGTTTAATACTTTGAAAACGGAAAACAAAAATTAATTAAGATACCCTTGGACAAGTCACTTCTCAAGAATTTTTTTTTTCCTACAGAAAAAGAGGAAGTCCCAAGGGTGTGTTTTGACATCCAGGAATCCTCATTCCCATGCAGGTAGGTGGGTGAGAGGGAGAGACCTGGGACCACTGAACCTGGGGACCACGGGAAGCCCTGGGACACAGCCTGCAACCACAGGCGGGCGCAGCAACTACCAGGGTGTGTGCCAAAGGCTGGGCCGAGGGAGGAGGACGGCGGGCGCCAGAGCAGCATCGAGTCCGGGATGTGCCTCGGCGCTGAAGCTTCCTTCACGTTCACCCGAATTCCTCCACTTGGGCTAAATTCAAGAAATACCGCATCCGGGCCCCCAGCCGC